GCGGGGGCAGCGCCACGGTCGCCCTCTCGCCCCCTCGCCGAGCGCCCAGCAGTTGACATTGCAAAATCGGGGGATTTTCCCCACTTGCCTCCCTGGCTCTCTTTCGGCCGGCTGCCCGTGGCTGTCTCCGAAAGGGTGGAGGAGAGCGCCACGTCTGTCCCCAGAGCTTCTCCCGGGCCAGCCCCGCGTCTCTCGGTGCGGCGCGGAGGGGTTTTGTTTGGGGACAAACTTTTAGAGGGGCCCGGGATCGCGTTGGAACCCGAGTCGCCCGGGGTCACGAGCGCCCCGTCCTTCCAGTCGGCTCTCCTGCCCTCCTCCTCCCCCGTGCCGGTACCCTGGACCCTGCGGCGCCGGTTCCTGCCCGCCCGCACAGGCTGCCGGTGGACCTCGCAGGACGCCCGGACGAGCTCCAGTTGCTTACCCGCGGACGCGAGGACTCAGCGCCCTGGGACGCCTGCCGTCCCCCTTGCCCCAAAGGGACTCCCCAGCCACCCCGAATTGTCTGCTGGGTCCTGGCGCTGGGCTGGGTGGGCTACTGGACCACCAGAGGTGCCCTTCTCAGGGGGCCTCGGCCCTGTGCGCGCTCTTACTGCTCTGCACATTTGGAGGTCTCCTGTTGATCAGGGACAAAGTGGGAATACGTGCAGGTTGATGAAAAGCTGAGCAGCTCGTAGAGACCCTGGCCATGCCGCCTCCATTGCCAGCTGTGGGCGTGATGGCCCCATGGCCCTTACTCATCAGACTGGGTAACTGTTTGCCTGGCTGGCCACTCCCAACCCTGCCCTGTCTAGGTCTCCATCCTACCTTGTGTTCTGTGCGCTGGAACAGGTGGGGTGGAGGTGATGGGCCCCCGACACAGCATCCCCACGTGGCCCCCAGGGCTAGACGGGACCACCCTCCTCCCGGCTGTCAGCAGGGTAGTGCCAGGAGGGGCAGGACCATTCCGCCTGCTCGGTGAGGCATGGCCCAGCACAACATAGCCCACAAGCACAGCCTTGGTCCTTTTGTGTGGAGCCTCTTTGGGGACAAGACTGGAGGATTCCAGAGCCTGAGTGGGTGCTGGGAGAGAGGCGGCGGCCATTCGACCTCTGCCTGGATTGGTGCCTTGACTTTCTCTGCCCAGAGAGGCCCTGACTCAGCTGGGGTTGGGGCCGCCAGGGACCCCTGGCAGGGATGCCTTCCTGGGGCAGGATGAGGGTGGCAGCCCTGCTGGGGGTTGAGTGATATGGGTCAAGAAAAGCACTGCATTGCTGGTCTGCCTCTACCCTGGCTCCACCTGGGGCCCGCTGTGGAGTGGGGAGTCTGGAGCTTCTGTTCTGGGGCCTGATGCCACACAGCGCCCTGGGGAGAGCGAAGTCCTCAATGGCCTTTAGCAGCCCCTGGCCACGGTTGGGCTTGTGACCAGTGCACCTCCTGTTTCCTGCATGGCCTCCCCTCCTG